AGGCAAGACGCCAGCGGCAGCCTTGCGAGGCGATCACACAACAGGACGGTGCCCGATGCCAAGCAAGGCGCGGGGGTGCGAGAGGGAGACCGCTCGGGTTATTTCCGAGAGTAACGGACGGAGAATGCGGAAGACGCCCAGCTCGCTTCGCCCCGAGAAGGAGGGCCGAGCAGGCGAGGCTGCGCCAGCCGAGGATTCGCAGCGAGACCCTGGAAGGCGGTGCCCAGTACGGCCCTGGGAAGGCCGGGCTCCCGGGCTTCTCCGCTGATTGCGTGGCTCTCTCAGAGGCGCGCCTGGGTGCTTAATCTTTCTCTTGACACGCGAGGAGGAGCCTGGGTTTTTTGGTCGTCGGAACCTGGAGCTTTTGCCTTGCATGGCGCCGTTCACGGTGTGTCCCAGTTCGTTTTTAAACCTAGCCCGTGAACTCAGTCGAGGATCTCTTACTGTGACATCGAAATCCCGGAGTTGCTTTAATTGCACCCTGTTGAAATTAATTGCTGGGGGTGCCGTGTGCAATCACAAGCACCTTGCACCCTCAGCCGCCTTTCCTCTGGTTTTGGCTCTCCTGGTGATATGATAATACTGGTCCCCTAGAAGTTAAATACGTTGGGAAAGGTGGCTTAATATCCAGAAGTTCTGCTTTTTATTCATTGAGGAGCAAAGATCTGCATGGTTATTTGGGAGTAACTTGCATTATGTTAAGTAATTGTGGGTGGTTACATATCCTCTGGTTTTAAGGTGTGTGTGCCTTTATGTCAGTGTTGATTTGTGGTGACTGCCCACTACATACACTAGGCAGTCTAATCTAGTTTTCTTGATGATTTCAAATGTGGTTTGCCATTGCCTCCTTCTTAGGGCTGAAGGGGTGTGACTGGTCCAAGGTCATCTGTTGACTTTGCTCCTAAGGTGGGCCTGTGGCTCACCTGGTTTCTAATTTGATGCCTTAACCCAGACATGGGTGACGTCACATGACGTACACCAGACTAGCTCTCCCTATCTCTCCTGTAGAATGTCATTTTTCCTTTCTTTGCAGTTTTTACAGGTAGTCCAGGGTAGTCAACCTTGGCTCTTTTATGACTCGTGGACTTCAATTCCCAGAATTCCTGAGCCAGCTTAGCTGGCTCAGGAATTCTGGGAGTTGAAGTCCACGAGTCATAAAAGAGCCAAGGTTGACTACCCCTGAGATAGTCCTTAACTTACGACCACAATTGAGCCCCAGATTTTTCTTGCTATGTGAAACATTTGTTATGTGAATTTTACCCCATTTTACGACCTTTTCTACCACAGTTGTTAAGTGAATCACTGCAGTTATTAAGTTAGTGACACGGTTGTTAAGCGAAACTGGCTTCCCCATTGACTTTGCTTGTAAGAAAGTCATAAAAGGTGATCACGTGACCCCAGGCCACTGCAACCGTCATAAATATGAGCCAGTTGCCAAGCGACCAAATTTTGATCACGTGACCGTGGGGTTACTGTAACGGCCATAAGTGTGAAAGTCACATTTTTCAGTGCTGTTGTAACTTCAAACGGTCACTAAATGAACTGTTGTAAGTCAAGGACTACCTGTACATTCAGCATCTTGGAAGCTAAGCAGCCTAGGACTTGGTTAACACTTGCTTGGAGTTCATTGGGAAGTTGCAGAAACATCACAGAAGTTTCCTCAGTTTTGACCTCACTTACATATTTCTGATATGGGCATGTCCCAGTTAAAAAATAAGAATGAAAACATGGGCCGGTCCATAGGTTCAGACTTACTGGAATTATTGACACTTTCTTTAAACTAAATTTGTACCTCTGTAGATGCCATATTCCTGCTGGCTCAGGAATTCTGGGAGTTGAAGTCCACGAGTCATAAAAGAGCCAAGGTTGCCTACCCCTGCCATATGCTAAGTAAATAAACTGGAATTATGGTGGTGATATCTTTTGTGTTTTACAATAGAATACTTTATGTGGCCAAGTGTGCTTAGACACATAAGAAATTTGTCTCTGGTGCAGAAGCTCTCTACGTGCGAAGCAACAGAATAATAATACCAATAAGAGGGGGTAGTAAAGATAAGGATAATACTACAGCCATGCTACATGAGTAAATATACATAAATATTAGACAGTACGTCTAGTTTAATGAAGAGAAGGACGAGGGGGGACATGATAGCAGTGTTCCAGTATCTCAGGGGCTGCCACAAAGAAGAGGGAGTCAAGCTATTCTCCAAGGCGCCTGAAGGCAGGACAAGAAGCAACGGATGGAAACTAATCCAGGAGAGAAGCAACCTAGAACTAAGGAGAAACTTCCTGACAGTTAGAACAATTTACCAGTGGAACAACCTGCCTCCAGAAGCGGTGAATGCTCCAACACTGGAGGTTTTTAAGAAGAGACTGGACAGCCATTTGTCTGAAATGGTATAGGGTTTCCTGCCTGAGCAGGGGGTTGGACTAGATGACCTCCAAGGTCCCTTCCAACTTTATTATTATTATTATTATTACTATGAAAATTAGGTGCTCAGCAGAGTGAGGGCATGAGGGAAAAAACTGTCCTGTTGTTTTACCATGCAGTGCTCTATAGCAGTGATGCAACTGTGATGCTCAAGTATTAAATGCTTATAAGAGAAGTTGGGGGGTTGAAGGTCTCTAAAAGCTGCTGAATTATGGCCTCCTCCAGTATCTTTCACTTGCTAGTTGGAGTTACTGCAATTCACAACTCCTGGAACATTAGTGGTTCTCCCCCCCCCTATGAAATTGCAATATAGTACAATTGTAGTCAGCTCACCAATACAAGGTAACCTGAATTACCATCCACCCATTGTTTTGAATAGTATTAAAATAGTAATTATTAACTTTAATTCTTAAAATATTGTTGTGATTATCTAAACGCATAGTGAGCTAAAAAAAGGAATTCCTTAAACTTTTTTTTACTCATTATCTCATACCAGGATAAATACAAATATCCCTTCGATAGTGACTAACATCAGTTCTTGAAGAACTGAGTCATACGCTATAACCAGCTTTATTTGCATTCCGGTCTTTGAAATATGCAGAAGGAAATGGTGCCTCTGAATTGCATGACTCATAGATAGTTAGATTATATGAAAGAAGAAAGCTGTATTTCCCCATCAGTTATGTCTCTGAAAATTTTCAAAATGGTTAAGTTTGAAGGGAATGGATAGGGACAATGAAGCAAAGAAGCAATTTTGTGCCTTTTTAAAAAAAACTTAGAATTATGGATTTTTTTTTTGAAAATAGGGATTATTCCCCTTTCTCCCGCCCCTCTTTTGCAATGACAGAGATTTTATTTTCATTGTCTTTTAGAGCAGTGGTTCTCAACGGACCCTTGGGGGGAGCCCTGCAATGTCACAGAGTCCTTGAAGTCTTGAATGTTATGATTTAAATTTTGAGTTAAGTCTTGGTGGTCCGTGACCATGGTCTGTGGCCACAAAAGGTGTTTAAAGGGGGTCCGTGGAGAAGAAGAGGTTGAGAACCACTGTTTTGGAGTATGTCTTCCTGAAGAATTTCCATTAGTGATGCATGATAGAATTTGGCAAGCAAGGTCACTGTTCTGATGTCCTCACCTCCCTCTTGTACAACTTTTAAAAAACTTCCACTGAACTTATTTTAACTCTTTAGGTGTTGGTCTGCTCCCTTAGGTTTTTCTTGCGTGGTGACTAGAAGATTCTGCTCTCAAACTGCCACAGATTATTCAATGCTCAATCTGCCATTGTAAGAACTTTTATTTTATTTTATTTTATTTTATTTTATTTTATTTTATTATTTTATTTTATTTTATTTTATTTTATTTTATTATTTTATTTTATTATTTTATTTTATTTTATTTTATTTTATTTTATTATTTATTTATTTATTATATATTGTCATTGTATGTGCGTACATAGTATACATATACAACGAAATTTACTTGACACCCAAAAACCAAGTCCCACACACATAATCCTCAATACTACCCAAGCTGAGGTTAAAGTCCTCTCATTACTCTAAATTCTCAATAACAGCATTGGCCTGAGGGATAGAGATATTTATTTATAATATTTATTTCTTGCTCTTGTAGAGAAACACAAAAATCACTGAGAGACTGTCTATCATATAGATTTATATAAAAAAAACTGTTTCAGGAAAAGTAGCGGTCTCTGATTTTCTTTTGCAAACCACAACAGTACTGAGATGTATACATACATGTATAAAAACATAAGAGTCTAGTAATTAAGATGATGGATTAGGAGCTGGGGAAACATGAGTTCTACTCTTGCCCTAGGCACAAAAGCCAAGTTAGATGGCTTTGAGCCAGTCATTTTCTCTCTACTGTTTGAAGAAGAAAATAGCATTTTCTTTCTAAAAAATGTCTTTTCCCTTCGTTGGATTGACCTGTATGTAAAAATAAATCTCTCACACACAAAAAGCAGCTAAATATATTGCAAATTGGTAATTTTGCAAGTTCTTTAGAGCCTTTTCTACATGGCTCAGTTAATGCTACCCATTCATCCTTGAGCTGGCAGAAGACTAAATGTGTCTTATTCTATATTGTGCTTTTATAGTCTCTGTTCTGACTTGCTGCCGAATAGGACAGATGATCCAATAGGACAGATGATCCATGGGATGAGGTGGGAATCTTCCAGTGAAACTGCCCCCTTCTCCCCAACAGCTTGAGGGCTTGAGCCTTAGACCACTTGCTCTTTATTCATTGAATAATTGCCAGTTGGTTATGTCAACAGAACATATCACACCAAAAAAACCATGGTTTATAAATAATGATTTACACACATAAACATGTTAAGCGGAGGCCAGGCAGCCAATTTACAGCTTAGCTCTTAAGGAACCTGGCCAGCAAGAGGTTCCCATGGAAACCACGTCCATATTGCTGCCAGGAAAACAACCTGAAACATGTAGTCCCAAGGAGCTGAGCTCAATTTATGAAAAACTTTGTCTTTTAATTATATGTAGGGCAGATGTTCTGGATCTCAACTCTTGTTTTTCTTTCTTCAGGTTCCTCTTTTAGTGGGGGACGTTTTCAAAGCCAGCTTCAAAACTGTCTTGTTCCTCATCACCTCCTCTGGAATTGAGGGATGTCCACGGCGGCCTTAATCAGTCTGGTTCGGAGTAGAGGCCACCAGCTGCAGAGAGCGCTGCTTACATCTTGCACAATTCTCAGCCCCAAGTGCCAAATTTCCACCAACGGGTGCAGGGCTTCGCGTTTCGATCTGGATGGGAGCGGCTGCCCTGCCACCTGGGATTCCTTTGGGATTTGGGACAACCGCCTGGACGAACCCATCTTACTCCCGCCCAGCATCAAGTATGGGAAGCTGATTCCGAAGGTCAGCCTGTCGAACGTGGGCTGTGCCACCCACATTGGGAAACGGAAGGAAAACGAGGACCGTTTTGATTACGCCCAGCTGACTGAGGATGTCCTGTATTTTGCCATTTTTGATGGGCACGGTGGGGTGGCAGCAGCTGATTTCTGCAACAAGTACATGCGGGAATATATTCGGTGAGTGCTATGTGTGGATTCTTTGTCTTTGCAAGGACAAAGACCTGCTTAGTTGTATGGAGATATAGTCCTCGAGTTAAAATAGTTCATTTAGTGAATAAGCTATGTAAGGGTTGGATTTGTCCATGCTAAAATACAAATCATATTTTACAAATCACCATGGTTGGGTTCATGCAATATGCTGTTCAAAAGTGAAACAAAAGTATTAATAATCTAACAAAACCACTGATGGTGTGCACTGAACAGTTACAGCTGAATTATTAATGAAAACCTCTCTTAATATGTCTAGTTGCAATCCATGACGCCCCTGGTGAATTTTGCAAGTTTCAAGCTAATATCAGTTGAATAATTGATATGTAATAGTTTATGGATGAGAGCAAGTGGTTAGTTCCGTCAGACAATATTTTAACATGATTACTTTTTATTTTTTTAGAGAATTTCTTTCTGAGGAACACAACATGGAATTAGTATTGATTAAAGCTTTTCTAGAAATAGACAAAGCATACATGAGACACGCCCACTTATCTGCGGATGGTAAGTAGGAAATGTGTTTATGTTGTTTGGGACAAGTATAAACTAAATTTACTCATCTAGCACTGAAGCTTCAGGCTAGCTATCCCCAGGGGAAAAATTGCAACTTAAATATCAAGGATTTGCTATATCAAAAATCTACAGAAAATCGGGAAACCCACCGGAGTCTGTGAACCACACAAAAAATTGTGAGAGAAAAATAATAAAAAATTCAAAATTAAGTGGTACATGCTTTAGGACCACATTTGCTCAAAGTTGATTCCAAATATTTATTTGGAAATCACCACTGAGAAGTCTTCAGTATTCTCTTTCATTAAGTGAATAATGCAGTTATTAAGCCAATCTGACTTCCCCTGTTGAGTTTGATTATCCAAAGCTGGCTGAGAAAGTCACATGACCCCAGGATGCTCCAGCTGTTGTAAATACATGCCAGTTGCCAAGCGTCCAAATTTTTATTAGGTGATCACAAGGATGCTAGGATGGTTATAAATGTGAGAGGAGGAATCACAAGTCACTTTTTTCAAAGCCATTATAACTTTAAACAATCGCTAAATCAATTGATATAAATCAAGGACTACTTGTACAGTATATACTGTGGGTGTAGGAACAGTTTTTGCTTTGTTTCCTGACATACAGTCAGGTGAAAAAGAAAGTACACCCTCTTTAAGTTCTGTGGTTTTATATAACAGGACATTGTAAAAAGCATCTGGTCTTAGAAGTTCTTAAAACGTTTTTCACCCATGGCTTCTCCATTTTGGCTTTCTTTTTGTAAAATAAATGATGACACGGTGTAATATGTCACGTGATGATGTTCATCTGAGGTTGTATTTACCCACTTTTAAGAAGTGCTAAGGACCACATGATTTTTACTATGTCCTGATGTGTAAAACCGTAGAACTCAAGGAAGGGTGTACTTTCTTTTTCACATGGCTGTAATTGCCATGCAAGATGGCAAACATATTTAAGGACATTAAAGCAGTTTCATTTTTTAAAAAAAATGAAAGCTGTGTATCCCAGGGGTTCCCAACCTGTGGGCTGTGGCCCACTATCGTGGCCTATTTGCAACCCGATCATGTGAATGGCTGGCTGGTGTGCGTGTATGCACAATACCACTCAGGCAAGCATCATGGGGGTTCAGGGCCTCACTCGCATGTGTTGCGGGCACTCGGGGCCCCACTTGTGTGAGTGTCATGGGCACTTGGGGCCCCACTCACAAGAGTGTCAAGAGTGCTCGGCCTCACTTGCGAGCATCACAGGCCCTTGGCCTCACTCACATGAGCAACAGGTGCTCATGTACATTCATGTGTGTGCGCACACACCTGCCCCTCCCACAAAACTATCCCCTCTTTCCCCCCCCCTCCAGACCGCCAACCCAGAAAGGTTGGGGAACTCTGGTGTATTCCACCTCTGAAACTGTTCCATCTTCAGATGTCAGAGGTGATGGACATAATACTAGAAAAACCTTTCAAATTTTGATTGGACTAGATCAGGGGTCCCCAACCTTGGTAACTTTAAGACTTGTGGAGTTCAACTCCCAGAATTCCTCAGCCAGCTGAGGCATTCTGGGAGTTGAAGTCCACAAGTCTTAAAGTTGAAGTCCACAAGTCTTAAAGTTGCCAAGGTTGGGGACCTCTGGACTAGATAACAAAATGGAAAAACGGGGTAGTGGGAAGTGTTAAGATCATGAGAAAACCAAAAATCTCTAGTGCAGGGGTCCCCATGCCCTGGTTGGCGGCCTAGTGCCAGGCCTCAACCCATTCGGAACTGGGCCATGGAAATGGTAGGCGAGCATGTGTGCACGTGCGAAAGCATCCTTTCTTCCCCCACTGCCACCTCCACTGGTTGACCCACTCAGAAAGGTTGGAGACAGCTGCTGTAATGGACAGAAACAATCCTTCATTGATATGTTTGACCTTTTAGCCCAGTGTTTCTCAACCTTGACAATTTTAAGGCATGTGGACTTCAACTCCCAGAATTCCACAGCCAGCATTGCTGGCTGTGGAATTCTGGGAGTTGAAGTCCACATGCCTTAAAATTGTCAAGGTTGAGAAACACTGTAAATAGCCCTTTGGGAAGGGAAGCTCCCCTCAGCCCACATGGATCCTTTATATCAGTCGTCTCCAATCTGGTAGGGCTAATTATGCATTGGTCTTCAGCTCATGTAATTCACAGGAGTGTGTTTATTTATTTATTTTATTAAATTTATATGCTCCTCCCTCCATTCTTGCCATCAAGTAGCTCTAGGCGGCTTAGTACATCTTCCCATTTGGGAGTGGGAAGTTCAACCTAATTGCTATCAGTTTGGGAAGGCTGATTTACATTATTGCAAGCAAGTAAGAAAAAAATCTTACAGAAACTTTATTACTCCACCCCATTTTCACTACTCCTGCTTTATTATGGGTAATTAAATGTGCTGTTTCCATGAATGATGTTTATGATGATTATTATATTCATCTTAAATGGCAAAAGTATAATAGGTGGAAAATGTTGGGTTTTCTAATTAAAGAAGTCAGTCAAAGCCATGGTTTTTAAGTTTTAAAATGTTAACCTGCAACACCGAAGAAGGGAAAGAGCTGCAGAAACCTATCTTTGAATTATCACCTGGCATATTTTATTAAAACCAAGCTTTCTAATTCTGTTTAGTGATGTTGCAATTAAATTTGAACTGTATTTGTAGGAATGTCAGGTTGTCCTCTTAACTTTTAATTCCATTGGCGAACAGTGATTATTTTGCTCTTTAAAAAGATGCTATTATATAAATGGCAGAATCTTTTTATAGTGAAATTAAGCCCATGCCCGAAGGATTCTATCCAGCTGAAAGTCACAAGACACACAGAAATTGGATTTTTGTGTCTGAACACAATTGTAACTCTTAACACATGTTCAGTTGCACATTTATGTCTTATTTGGTGATTTCTTATCCCAGTATTTTGAAATATCCTCAAAGCAAAACCTTTTAAGGTACATAAAAGTGTCCATATATTCAAAATAAAATGTTTTGTTTTTAAAAAGTCTTTGAGTACCTTAACATTCCAAATTACTCCTATTTACCAGTAGTGAGCCCTCAGCTAAATTGATGAGGTTGCTTGGGGAAATTAATATGTATCCCTTCAAAATTCAAAACAGCAATATTTTTCCTCATTGTTTCCATAACTGCTTTGAAGAGGGCTAGAATTCTGCCTCTTTTGCAGCTCTCTTCCTTCCAGCTGTTGCAGGTTTTCTTAATTTATTTGAAGCACAATTCCTGGGTGAATTTTTCCTATTTGCCTCTGTGTGTACATGTGATTTATGGCAGACACGGTATCCGACCAACAGCTCTAGAATTGGAGACCCGGGACTCTATATGCTGGGCTCCAGTGGAAAAAGAGATCTGCTTATGGTGGTCCCAGGTGAAGGAGTCTGGCGGGTTCCTAGCCTGGACTGCTGGAAGGTTCCCACATCCACTTTGTCTCATTAGTTGAGATGACATGCTCTAAAAATGTCCAGTGAGTGCAAAGATACCTATTGAAAGAATTTTAGATGATAATATATGGATGCTGTTTGGGAAACCACCAATGTCATATTTATGCTTTTCAAGTTAAATCAAGCTGTGTAGTGAGCTTTTTGAAAATGCATTGGGAGATAAGCACAAGTGATTTTGATTAATGATGATTCCTTGATTTTGGAACTCTGTTGCTGGTTAGATCTAGTCCTTCTTGCGCTGCTTCTTTTCATACCACTAAAACCTGTAACCTGTGAAGACTTCTTTAAACCCCACCTGAAGTGGACCTAAAGTTTTGTTATAGTCACCATCCTTAACTTGATGCCTTCCATGGGCGTTATTATTAATCTTTAATATGTTATCCACATTAAAGAAGGCTTGCTAGTTTCAAATCTTATTGTGACAAATAAAGAGGTTTCCAGTTAATGAAACTAGAAATGGAGGGCACAGGATTGGCATTCATTTCATAGGTACATATGAAGTGTGTATGGAGATTTCTTAATCATCCAGGACATGATTGTCCCAAAGGTGCTTTTCAAAAGGCAACTGGACTTTCTTGGGATTTTTTTCTCCCTGAAAATGTTTCACTTCTCATCCAAGAAGCTTCTTCAGTTTTCAAGGGACCTCCCCCCCAAGAAAGTCCAGTTGTCTTTTGAAAAGCACCTTTGGTACATATGAAGGAGTAAATTTCCTTTCTTTTTTTGATCCTGTAAGAACTCAACAGTTGAAAACAACCCAGTGATCTTAAATATTATAAGGAACAAATCCACCCAAATCTGATAAAGGGGCAGAGTTGGTTTCACTGGAAAAAGCCTTCATAATATTGGTCCCGGTACTGCATTGCTAACTTATCTAACCCTGATAACTGAGGGGTGTGATATGGAGGTTGGATGGATTAGCTCCATGAGTAGCTCATATAGATAGGCCTCTAAGAATAGTATACTTAGACTGAGCCAACACATTCTGTACTAATCTACAGTTTACTTTCTGGCACTTTCTCAAACTGGGCTAGATTCTCATAACATTACACCAGTGTTTATGTTTATTTATTATGTTTTGTGTAGATGATACAACTCAGCGGTTTTGTAAACTACGGCTTAAACTGTTGTGTGAACACAGCCAATTAATGGCTAATCTAATACTTTTGCATCATGTGTTGACAGTTGTGCAATTTCCTAATGATGCTGCATTGGCAAGCTCAAAGAGGAGGAAATATTTAATTCATAGGGTTAATCTGAAGAGAAATTGGAGCATCATGGTTTAGTGTCACGCATGAATGCAGCCAGAGAATTAGCCAGTTCCAAGAATTATTACTTTTAATTGCCCTGGATAAAGTCACTATGAAGCATTACCTTGACCTTTAAAGATATGAATGAGTGCGTTTTCCACCGCAAAACCATGTGTCTGCCATTTTCTTCTCTATTGTTTTTAAATAGAGGACCTTCTGATCTCTCATGCAGTCCAAATGTACGAAAAAAATAAGTTCATTAGTTCAGCTATTAGACCAGTGTTTCTCAACCTTGACAATTTTAAGGCATGTGGACTTCAACTCCCAGAATTCCACAGCCAGCAATGCTGGCTGTGGAATTCTGGGAGTTGAAGTCCACATTGCCTTAAAATTGTCAAGGTTGAGAAACACTGTATTAGACTGACCTTCCCCTAATCCTAACCCAGTGTCCTTCAGAGATGTTGGACTAACATTTTTATAACTTCCAGCTAGGCTGCTCTAGTAGTTCAACATAACTGGGTGGTCATTGATTTGTAACCTGGAATAAAAGGATTCTGTTCTCGGAAACAGCATTTCCAAAAGCAAGGAATCAACTGGGAGAGACTTTTGGTGGTCTTGAGTCTTAGCTGTTAAGCATGGAAGGGGATTGAGGGGTAGAAAGCAACTGTCTTCTCACATGTTTTACTAACTGATTAAAACAGGTATTTTACAGAGAGCACAAAATGGTTCAGATTGTCTCAGAGTCATGTTTGCCCCATTTCTTTTCTCAACTCTCTTTATTTTAAGCATTCCTAGTAGATTGCATATAAAACACATTAATTCTCTGCATTTCACAACAGTGAAAGTGACTGAAATCATACTTTTTTTGCTATGGTCCGTGGGGTGCTGTGGTGCATCGTTAAAGGTGCATCCTTAGCCTCAAACACGTGCTGTAAAGCAATCAGTACCGTTGATTTTATTAATAAATGGCCTGCAGAAAAGGAGTGGAGGAAGAAAACTTTACCTCTTTGGAAATTGACAGTCTTGCAAAAACTCAAAGAGTATTGAAGAACGATTTAGAATACCTGTTTTAAACAGTAGTAGTAGTAGTGTTTTAGGAATGTATCTCTACTTTCTTTCCTTTTTGTTCCTTGAAACTACGGAGTTTGCACAGCACAACAAGGCTTCATGCATACTTTTTAATCTGCACAGGATGGACTGAATCTGTTTGGAAGATATAATCCTTTCAAATAATCTGGAGCTAAAGCACTTTGTTATTTCTCCCCAGCCCATTTAAATTCTACATCAGCTTTGTAATTTGAATAGTACTCGGTAACCTTTTGGTAAGCAGTAAAAAAAATCCAGCAATTGTTTATGCTGTCAGAGAGGCTTTCACCCATCAGCATGCAGGCAGCTAGCTACTTCTGGACCAGCTGTAGTGTCCAAGCAGTTTTCAGAAGCAGCCCCAAGTAGAGCATTTTACAGCAGTCTAACCTCGAGATGACAAAAGCTCGAGTCACTCTTGCCACAACTAATGAAATTGGGAAAATCCTGGCCACGGGCTTCTACAGGTCCAGCAGTAGCCCTGAAAGACCCCCTGAATCTCAGATTTGCTTCTTCAGGGAAAGTGTAACCGTAACCTGAGTCGGTAAAAGACTAAAGATGGTTTGGAAGTTCCTGGGGTTTGTGTGTGCCCTAGAGCCCCAGATTGTCTATTTCTGCCTTGTAAGAATCAAGGAAGGATTTGTGACCTTGAGAGGGTGGGTGGATGGGGAATTGTGCCCTTTAATTTATAATTCAACTTACATGGAAGAGCGGTGGTGGTGCAGTGGTTAGAATGCAGTATTGCAGGCTAACTCTGCCCAAACACCAGGAGTTCAAACCCGACCGGCTCGAGGTTGACTCAGCCTTCTTCTCCTTACGCAGTGGGTAAAATGAGGACCCAGATTGTTGGGGGCAATAATATGCTGGCATTTGTAAACGGCTCAAAGAGTGCTGTAAAGCACCGAGGGGCGGTATATAAGTTTTAAGTGCTATTGCTATATTTTAGTATCTTGTGGCCTTGTTAGCTAATGACCAGCTTCCCCTTCCATGAAGCCGTGCTGTGTTTCCCTTTGCGCCTTCCATCCCTTTCTGTCTTCAGAGCTTAAATATTTTCAAGCAGTGACTCTTTAGTGGAGCTAGCACAGGTCATGCAGTTTAAAGCTGAAGAAATTATACCCTAGGCAGGTTTGGGGCTCAGGTGCTGATTACCTCTCTCTCTATGTGACATTTATAGCTACCTTGTTAAATACTGGGAGCACAGCAACGGTGGCTTTGCTGCGAGATGGCATTGAGCTGGTGGTGGCCAGTGTGGGTGATAGCCGTGCGCTGTTATGCCGCAAAGGAAAAGTTGAGAAGCTGACCATTGATCATACTCCAGAGCGGAAGGACGAGAAGGAAAGGTACCTCTGCTAAATGTGCAACTTCGGGCTTAATTTATTTTTCCCTCCCAATTTTAAAGAGAGGTCTTTTGAAATTGTAGAAATGGGATGCTTTTGCAAAGGGGAGGGGCAGAATTCTTCATGTAAAATTATTCTGTGATTTTTTTGTAGAAATATAACATGCATGTTGGTGGCTATTATTTGTACTTTATTTTATTTTTAAGAATCAGGAAATGTGGTGGTTTCATCTCCTGGAACAGTCTGGGGCAGCCCCACGTGAATGGCAGACTTGCAATGACCCGTAGTATTGGAGATTTGGATCTTAAGAAGTGTGGTGTGATCGCAGAACCTGAAACAAAACGGGTGCAGGTAAGTGGTTGTGTAATAATGCCTTCTCTCCCACATCTGAAGGTGCAGCTTATTGAAAGCTGATTTGGTACAAACACAATAGCTGTGTGGGATGATTATTTGTGTCATTCTTGTTTTAGGCAGCACCCAGCAAGTTGATACTCATATCCTGGTCTGAGAATTTTATTTATATTTGAAGTTCATTGCCTCATTGTATAGTTATAACATTGCTCAGCTAAAAAGGAGAATAGCACAGTGGATACTGCATACGTATGGTGTCCCTAGTGGTGATATGGATCTTCATATGTATATATAGCTACAAGTAGAGCACCTGCAGAATTCAGAAATGTATCTTTTTTGAAATCAGGAGTAGGCAAATATTTTTCATCTGGAAGCTGTACCTAATAATAACAGTAATAGGTCTCCAACAGGTACAAGGTACAGGGCCCACTAGAGCAGTGGTTCTCAACCTGTGGGTCGGGACCCCATTTGGGGTCGATTGACCATTTCATGGGGGTCGCCAAGCAAGGCTGTCCGCCATTTTTTTTGTCCGCCATTTTTTTCCCCTTTTCTGGCGGGTGCCTTACCTCCCTTGGGCTGGGCCAGCTGGTGGTCGGCCTGCTCCGTCTCTGCCCCCTGCCAGCTACGCCTCGGCCGGCGCAGGGGGCGGAACCACGCATGCACGGCGCTCCCGGGCAGGGAAAGTCCTTGACTTACGACCGGTTGGGTAGTCCTCGACTTACGACCGGTTTAGTCCTCGACTTACGACCGGTTTAGTCCTCGACTTACAACCGGTTTAGTCCTCGATTTACGACCGGTTGGGGTCGTGGCATTAAAAAGGTTGAGAACCACTGCACTAGAGTGACTTGATGATGTACTTGAGTGGCTTGAGCCAACTATTTAAAACACTTCTTAAAAAAGCGCTTTATTGCTCTAATTCGGTGGTCCCCAACTCCCGAGCCACAATCAATTCAGAAACGGTCTGCAGGAGTGGTGGGTGAGTGTGCGCTTGCATATGCAATGCATTTGTGAAAGCTGCGTGCGTGTGCGCGTGCATGAAACCATCCCCACCACCGCTGCCACCTCTGTCGATCTGCCGAGCCGGAAAAGTTGGAAACCGCTGCTCTAATTTATATACTTTTGCATCCAGTTTTATCTGATGCGTGCTTGTGCATGCTATTTTTGAACTGGGAAGTGTGCCAGTTAAAGTAGGCGTTCCTATTTTCAGTTTAGGAAGAACAGATTTAGGAAGTTTAGGAAGAACAGTTTGCGTAAAAATAGAATCTGAACAAGTTTTTCCTTTATTCATCGCTATTTAGCGGTTTCTACTAGAGCAGGCATGTCAAACTCACGACGTCACGGAACATTTTCCCCATTGCTGGCAATGGGGTGGGCGTGGTTTCCTCGTGATGCGTCCGGCCCGCGGGCCAGCAGTTTCACACCTATGTACTAGAGCAGGGGTAGGCAACCTTGGTTCTTTTATGACTCGTGGACTTCAACTCCCAGAATTCCTGAGCCAGCATGGCTCAGCTTGGAAACTCTCCCGTTCCCCTCAGCATGGCTGGCTCAGGAATTCTGGGAGTTGAAGTCCACGAGTCATAAAAGAGCCGAGGTTGCCTACCCCTCTACTAGAGCATCTTAAGTCTGGATAATTTGTATGCTCTTTGTGTTGCTTTAGTTACACCACACAAGTGACAGCTTCTTGGTCCTGACCACAGATGGCATCAACTTTATTGTAAACAGTCAAGAGATCTGTGACTTTGTTAACCAGTGCCATGATCCAACCGAAGCAGCTCACATCATTACGGAGCAGGTAGGTGTTTTCTGCCTTAGGAACAATGGTTACTGGCCAGCTTTCAGGTAATGGTACCTGCATTTCCATGGATGATCCCCAATGGAAAGGAGTATCAGTAGCTCAAGGATGAAGTGTGAAGATTTTGGTGCTCTCTGAGCTTGGTTGTTTACTTGCAGACTTTTCATTATCTAGCCAGGTAACAACATCAGTGCACTGGTGATGCTCCCACTGATGTTGCCGAGTTGGATATAGGTAGTCCTTGATCTAGGACTGTCATGGTGCCTGCCATTACAATCGTAAGTAGTGATGGTCATAAAGAGGGTCATCCATGTGACTGACACAATTTTACAGCCTTTTTGGGGGTGATGGTTTAGTGCAGGGGTAGGCAACCTCGGCTCTTTTAGGACTCATGGACTTCAACTCCCAGAATTCCTGAGTCAGCTATGCTGACTCAGGAATTCTGGGAGTTGAAGTCCATGAGTCCTAAAAGAGCCGAGGTTGCCTACCCCTAGTTTAGTGAATTCATAGAGCGAATGCCATAGTTGTTAAGAAAGCGCTGCTGTCGTTAAGCCAAACCTATTGTTCATTATGGGGTGTTGAAAACCGGAAGTAAATGCTAACTTTTGGCAAAATTGTAAATCGCAGACATGTCACTTGGCAAATGGTTGTAAATGCAGGCCGGTTGCCGAGTGGCCGAAATGCAATCACATGACCTGGGAGGCAAACGGTCGAAACTTTGGAACTGGGTCATAATTACTTGGGGGGGAGGGAGTCTGTTGCTAAGCAACTGGTCATAAGTCAAGGACTACCTGTAGTGAAATGTCTGCAGCAAGTAACCAAGCTTAGAGGGCTCCAGGAATTCCACAATTTAAGGATGAGGTATCCTCTTGTGAACTTTTACAGCTGATACAATTAGAAAAGCCTGGGGTTTTTTTTATGTCTTTGGAGGGAGTGGTAATCATTCTAAAACAACATGGATAGTTTGCTGCCTGGCACTGGAGTATTGTCTTAGAAGTTACAGATTTGGGGAAGGGGTAGTCTAAGGCCATATGTGGGTCATGTACAGCTCCCCCAGCACTCTCCCTTCCTTCCTTCCTTCCTTCCTTCCTTCCTTCCTTCCTTCCTTCCTTCCTTCCTTCCTTCCTTCCTTCCTTCCTTCCTTCCTTCCTTCCTTCCTTCCTTCCTTCCCTCCCTCCCTCCCTCCCTCCCTCCCTCCCTCCCTCTTCTAGTCAAAAACCACGATAATTGGAGGGCTTAAGCAGGACAGAATTTCGCTTCTTGAGCTCCCACCCAAAATTTTGAAGAAAGGCCAAAAAATTAATCCCTGCTTCTTTTGGTAATGTCATCGTCCTTCCAGCTAGCACCTAGGGCTCTTCAGCATGATTGGGTAGGGGAGGGGCAGGAAAAATTGCTCATCCTTTGGGCTGTGGGGAATCCTCACTCCTGGATAATAACTGTTGCCATAAGATACCCAGAGAAACAGTTTGGTTTTAGAAAAAGAAAAGTTTTTTCCTCTCTTTCTAGAGCAGTGATGGCGAACCTTTTAGAGACCGAGTGCCCAAACTGCAACCCAAAACCCACTTTATTTATCGCCGGGTGCCAGGTGGGCGTGGCCCACTGGATAGGCGTGGCTGTGGTGGTCATGGCAGATTGGGTGGGTGTAGCCAAGGTGGGCATGGTCACCTCGATGTTGCTTGTGGGGAGGGACGCCTGTGGGGGCCGGGCAGGGTTGGGGGAGATCCAGGGGGTCTCTGGCAGGTGGGACAGTGGGCAGGAGGTTCGTCCTGTGGGGTGAGGCGAGGCAAGGCAGGGTGGGGGTGCCATTGTCACAGGGAAAGATGAGGCAGGGGCTGGGGCGGCTGCTGCCTGACACCATCGGCCCCTGCACACAGAGGCCAGCGAGCGCATGGGTGCTGGGATGCATCCGGCCATGTGGGACCTCGGCCAGTTAGCGGGCGGCTGGTTGAAGAGGGACGGTTGCCATCTCCGGGGCATGGCGCGCGTGCCCACAGAGAGGGCTCTGAGTGCCGCCTCTGGCACGCGTGCCATAGGTTCGTCACCACTGTTCTAGAGGGTGTCCTAATAGGAAAATCTTCCATTAGATTTTACTTAGAGGTAACTAAAAAGACTCCCTGATATGGTTTAGTATTTTTGCTGATCCCCTGCTTAGTTTATCTTTGCTTTTCTGTGAGAGCTGGAACATTCTTCCCATCAAAGCAGTGAGCTGTCACTATTTTTATTTATCCTAGTAAGGCCGGTCTGGACCTCCAGGAATTCTTATAAATGAACATGATAATAGAAGTTCCCCTTTACCAATAGAAAAGAATATTTTTGTAGCTCAGGGTTGAACTATGGAGTCATTGCTTTGTGAGGTTGGTTGTTTTCCAATAGACATTTCATTACCCAGCTAGGCGCAAATTATGAGAAAGACTGTATATATTTAATTCTATAGCAAGAATTATATTTGCCTAACATTGGAAAAAATGAAAATTTACCAACCAAAGAAGAATTAATTAAGAAAATTTTAGAGTGTGCAGAAATGGATAGATTGACTTTAAAGATAAAAGAGAAAGAAGACTCAGTGTATTTTAAAACCTGGGATAATTTTTATCAATGGCTAGAAAAACGAGTTAGAGAGAAAGGAATGTGACATGTAACTTTGAATATATATTAGCGATTAATTAACATATTGTTTATGATAATTAATTACTACTCACTGGGGTTTTTTTTTAAGTACATGAACCCAGACATTATGCTGTTTGCTAAATATTGAGAATGTTATAAACTTCTGCCTTTCTCATTGTTCTACAAGGCCATGCAGTATGGGACAGAAGATAACGGGACCGCTATTGTAGTGCCATTTGGAGCCTGGGGCAAATACAAAAACTCTGAGGTCAACTTTTCCTTCAGCCGAAGCTTTGGTTCAAGTGGAAGATGGGCATGAGCATCTTTCTCCACCAAGCTGCTAAACATTTAAAGATGTAGATTGCAGAAAGGTGATACATAGGTAGAAAACCTCCATCTTTTCTAGCAAATTGCTGTTAACTTGATGTCACCTCCTAACAAATGTCTTTGTTACTGCTTCTCTCAAACTAAGCATTCTCACACCTTCGGTCCTTCCTCGTGGGCTTCTGCAAGGGCAAGATGCTGATATTTTTTTGGCTGACTGTCATTGTGATGTCACCTGTTTCTCCTGAGGTTCTTGAGATATTTTAGAGAAACAAAGGAATGTGGCAAATGCAAGCAGACTGCACAGCACTGCAGTTGGTGAACCAAAGGACAAGGACAAGAAAAAAATAGCATTTTATCTCCTATGCTATTCCATCCTGTGTAAGGGAAATTCAAAGACTACTAGAAAGTTGGAGAGTTAAAAGGTGGGTTTAATTGCTAGTTCACTATCACTGTCACATTGGGGTTAGAATAATTCAACTCTGAAAAGGAGTTTCAGTCTCAAGACTGATAAAGCCTCAGGATTGTGAGTCCAGAGACAGAGATAACTGTGTATTTCCTGTACCGATGTCCCCTTTTTTTGAAAAGCAGAGAGAAATATCTGCATTTTGTTTAATGTATAACTCAAGAGACAACAGTATAGCTCTTGAGACAGTACTAACCAGGATATACTGTGTTAGTATGCTTTCTAAAAAATAACAAATAAATTCTGTTTTTTTTCTTTAAAGGGGCCAGTGCTAAAACCGCTCCTTTAAAAAAAATATTCCACATTGGCTATTGTTAAATTCCTTTTCTAAGTATTAATGCACAGCATTAATGCAATTAATTTTGATGATGAGATTATTTTGGTTTGTTTCATAGTTTACAAGAAGATGAGCTTGTTTTTTCTAGGTTCTGGCTATTGAAAGAGCATAGTCTAAATCTGCTTAGAATTGTCCCCAACTTTTATCTAAAGTAAACATTGGAGGGAAATGGAAGTTTCAGAGAGGCCAGTAATATATTTTCAAACGATTCTATCCCTCCCATTTTAAAATACAGCTATGAAGGGAACAAATCTCTGTGTGTCTAAGCAAGACTACAATAATTGAAGTAAAAGCAAGGTTAATTTCATGGCACAGGCATATCTCAATCCCTCTGGGGAACCTTCCCCATCTTTCTGCCCTTCAGATGCTTTGGGGGCCAATAACACCCATCTGATTAAGAATTTCAGGAGTTTTAGTATCCACCTGAGAATATCAGGTGGAAAAGAAAGCAGAACTATTGGTGTTAAAATCTATATTTCTACATTGGAAGTTGTCTGACTCAGCGGTGAGATCTCACGATAGTGCCGAAATATCATGCATTCTTGCTGAGCAAGAAAACTGCAGCCTCATGAGATTGGATGATCTCAGAAGCTTCCAGCCTTTGGGGTGGGAAAAACCCACTGAATCTTGAAAACAGCCCTAATTTAGACCAGTGCCATCTAAATATGTTGTGGATACTGAATTCCCAGTCCCTGTTAATAGGTCTGTACCCACAAGGTGTGAGAAATCAGTAGGCCTTCTGAGTCATAGATATCCTTGAGAGAGCAAATGAGGAAAACCTTTGTCATGACCTCATTGGACAAATGTGATTGGCATCAATCTGAACAGTGACAGATACAAATTACATGACATTGTTGTAGGATGGTGTCATGATGCACTTCATAATGTTATTGTGACTCCTGACGGATGCCTATGGCTCCAATGTAAACATTAGGAGTGTTTGCTTGCACTGGAAAGGAAAGAATATTAAATAGAAATGCAATACTCGCCTTCCCCTGCGTAGAGTCACTTTGCATCTGGGAATAATAGTGCTGAGCCATTTAGTTGAACCCTGGTCACAATGTGAACGATGGACTTACACAACTGCACATCTAAGCCCGTAGCACCAAAAACCACTGTGGTGTCAACCATTCCGACGCTGCCTCTGTACATCCTTCTGCTCCTGACTGATCCTTTGAACTTTGTGAAAGACTTTGCAGACAGTGCCCTGGTATTCTTCTGTTTTTGTACATTTTTATTCGTTTGTATTCTATACACACAGATTCTATAACACAATTATATAGACTTTAAAAGTTACGTTTAGAAATTGTATACTCTTTATCGGTTACTGTCATTTTAAGACACTAAAAGTAGTATATATAGATGTTAAAAACATTTTGTTCTTCCTGAGTTGTTATTTTTTTTTAAGGGCGTTTTGTTTTTGTTCTTGTTTGCTACAACAAAAACGCCAGCTCTTCCCATGGGCTAAAACAGGCATGCAGTCAGAATTATCACCATTATATAATATAAATATATGACGTAAATAAAATGTACTTCCAGGTAAAGGAGCAGTTTGGCCATGACTCAGCTTCTTTCTCTATTAATAGCAGCAGCTCATAAAAGAAAAGGAAGCTGATAATTACTGAAGGCAGAGAAAGCAAATACTGTATATTTTCCCCCCTTCATTATGGCCCTACCCCCACTGAGTAAATGCCATTTTCAGAAAAATGGATTTTTCCACTAGAGCACAATAGGAAGGAGTTTAAATTCTTTCCCCATTCCTGCTCTAATCTTGCTAATTATCCATTCCATCAGCTGACATTGCATATTTTTAAAGTTATGGCAATAAACACAAGGCGATGCCAATTATCTCCTTTGGTGCTCATAAATCTAGAAATAAAGGGAATCTTGATCAGGAAATTCATACATCTGATCTTAATGAGAGAAAGGGGAAGAAAGTTGGGACACGTAGGGTTAGGAAGAGAGATGGGGGTAATGGGCAGCAAGGGGGTACCCTGGGCATAGGACTGAATCCCCCCCCTAGTATACGAACAAGTAAGGGAAGGAGCAAAGGTGGGGAAGAGGGAAGGAGGGACGTGTCAGCTGGCGATAGGATAATTAGGAGCCGAATGCAGGAGGATCGGTTGGGTCCAATCACGAGGTCTAGGAGTCGGGTGCAAAAGGCACCACTCCTATAAGTAGCCATCCCATCGACTGTTAACCACCCTGATGATGCTGGCAGGAAGGCGGCGAAAGCTAGGTGTTTTTAAATTTTATTAAAACTTTTTATGGTTTTAACAACCTCCTGGTGGTCTCACAGTTTGTGGTTCCCAAATATGGAATTACCCAGGAGTCAGCTTTCGGTTTTTAGGATTTTAAGTAATATATATCAGCTGATGCAACTAGGACCGGTAACCAGGTCCAAAAGCCGTGTGCAGACTGTGTTTGACCTATAAAAGACTCTCCCATAGACTGGCTGATTAAGCCCTGATGATGTCAACAGAACGCTGACGAAAGCTCGGCATTGGTATAGCGGCATTAAACTCTTATAGTTTGATGATTTTACCCTGGTGTTCGTTTTATTTATTTATTTGTTTTGGCATATATATATTTAAAGGCACAATATATTAAAAGGAGATGTGTATGGGTCAGTGTAATGTATAGCTCAAATCTGAAATTGTCTGGTAAGAAAGAAAATTGTAAAACTTTCAAAGAAATTATCTTAGGTTGTGGTTGAAAGCATCAAGGCACCAAGCCATTTGTAGCAGTATGTCAAGAAATCCAGGCTGGGAAGACGCAATTGTTTGCTTCCTGCTGTAGATTGCAAAAGACGTTTATCAAACATCTGAGTTATAGGAAAAGTTTCTCCTTTCCACCTTAGAATTCTACCAGTTGAAGAAGACTTAACAAGACAGCTATTATCCTGCGGCTCTTACTGATCTGGTGATTGTTCAGTGCACATGGAATTGAACTCAGTTTCCCATTTCCTTTGCAACAAGGAGAAACTGGAGGGTTGTATAGATAGGTTGTTTGGAGGGTCTACCTGCCTGGCTGGTGTAATTACCTGTGTAGTCAGTGTGCTATCACCGGTTCATTCAAGGTGTGTTTTGTACCAGAGGGCCGGGTGAAAGTCACAATATGTTTATATTCTTCAGTTCCAGCATATTTAAGCTGCATAAGCATACACGTGGGAAAGGGAATAAGCAAACCAACCTGGATTTAGGAAAAGAAGTTTAGATGTGTTTTAACACCCGGTTTATTCATCCCAAACAATGGGTAGCTTTCTCGCCGTATCGAATGTACTGTAGGGAAAGTTTTCCGAGGTTATTAAGCTGCAGTGCTTCCTGCACAAGAGGAGGCAAATAATGGTTAGAAAATGATTACTATTCCTGAATACATAGAAAAGTTTGGCAACCTGGCACATCAAAATTACTTTTAAAAACTCTAAAGTGCGCTTGCGTGCATTTCTGTTTTAGGAAGCATGTGAAAATGTACACTCGGTAATCGAGATTTCTGGGAGAGGCATTTAAATGTATGGTGTCAGATATGTATCGGTCCCAGCTGCTGTATCTCTGTAGGACGTGAGATGGGAAATGATGATTGTGGTAAAAGTCACGCACACAGATGTTTATGAGAATATACTGTACTTACGGTATTTCTTAGGCTTATTTATTCTTTTGTTGGTACGATATGCTTCCTTTCTGCTTTATTTCTAATGAAGCAAAGTTGCAATGCTTGTTCTTGTAGGCGTCACCCCTGAAAGCAGTTCTCCAAGGAGCTGCTCAGGCCTTGCAAAAGATACGGCTGCTTTAATGATACAGAGCAAAGTCCTTGGTTCATGCCCTCTCTTGATTGCTTTTCATCACCATTTATTGTTTGGATTGAAGGGGTAAGACTGTGTCCAAAATATCAGGTATTAATTGTGATAAAATATGTACATATTTTGAGCAAGTGTAAAGATGACTGGCTTGTTATTTCATTTTCAGTGGTTTATTTTACAACTGTATATTTGTCATGGAGCAGAATAAAGAACTTGTTCCCTAGTACTTTCTGTCTTCTTTTTCTTTCCTCTTCAGCTGCATATTTTCATAAAATTTATTTATCAGATGTGGACACTGTCCATCTTCGTATAATAACATAATCCAATGCAATGTCCCCCAAATCTCATCATTCCCCAGATATTCCCAGCCAGAATTGGGGGGGGGAGTAGAAACGG